GTTAGATAGATTTTATTATACAAGAAGAAGTATGGCTGTGAAAATGTATTTAGAAAAACCAAAGTAGTTCTCTTTGACAGAGAAAATGAAGTGACTGCAAGTTAAACATAAATGGCAAAAAAGTGGAGCAGACAATGTATTTATGTGCCTTGGCAGAACATTCACGAAAAATGGGAAAATGGGCTGAAAAAAAAGCTATGGAAATGCTAGGAAAAAGATAATGAATCCTATCTGGCCTGTGTTGAATAATGAATGTAAAAATAAGAAAAACTTTGTGCATAACAGCATGCTCGTGCCTGCTTAGTTCTCCTGAAGTGAGAGCTGGATATGTCATGCAAAACATAAAAGCTGAATGTAGAAGTGTGTGTGGTAAAGTAAGAAGAGAGGGAGTGAATCAGTGGTAAATTGCTGCCCAAAGGTTCTTGGGTAGATGGGTGGTCATATACATTGGATTAATTAATAAATATATGAAAAAAAGTTAATAGGTTAAAAGAAATGGATGGATGGCACTGATGAAGCCAGCGTATGAAATGTGTGGACGTGTAGAAGCAAGGAGAGAATGATATGGAGAAGTTTAGTGAATGGTTTTGGTATAAACTAGATTTAAGTGCATTGCTTTCTCTTATCTTATGCCTTTAATTTCTTTGGTCTACTATTTCTTACCCCTTTGTGTTTATCCTTAAAGGGAATAGTGTGACAGGTTGTGTATCATACACTTATTGTTTACATGTGCAATAATATGTACATATGCAGTCAGTACATAATTAAGCCTAACATAAAAATACATGGTTCTCAAACTGTTCACTACTGACCACAGGCACTGGGAAAAATTAGAAGATTACAATTCAACAAAAGTTTACAGATTCCAAAGCTAACCTCCATCAACCTCATTTCTGTACTATATTTACACTCATACACCAAGAAGGCAAGCACTAAGAATCACAGGGTTATTTATCACTGCAATTCGCCTACTCTGGTTTTGTTTCGTATTGATTTACATGTTTTACAAACTGAGTCAGTTTGGTTTGTAAACCACAGTCTATGTCTATTATATTATGTGAACCCAATAAATAATGAATTAACCCACCATTCAGCAAACCACGTTTTAATGCAATTTGTGAACTGGTTACCAGAAAAGCACTCTGATTTTGAAATGCTTCTCTAATAGCTGTTTGCTGGCACCTGTTCTTTATATGCACATCATCACTTTTTGACTTCGCCAAGGCTTACTTTCCTCAAAGTAACAGACAGAGCACCTCTAGTACACACACCAGCTTCTGCACTAAGACACTATAGTTGTTGAACTTTGCAGCTAATCACTGACAGTGGCTGCAGCAACTGCAAATGAAAAAAGGGCAAAACTGTAGAAGTTGTTGAGTTAAACCAATTACAACATCCCTCCCCACAGAATGCTGAGTTTAAATGGGTGTATACACATAAAATGTGCTTCCATTTGTAATTAAAAATCCTTACATGTATAGCATTATGTATGTGTGCATATTAATTGACACAGGCTGCCTCCAATCCACCAAAAAAGTGTAGATCAAAACAAAGTCTGAATCACAAGCTCAAGAATGCAACATAGAGATGATTTCTATCTGCACTATTAGGACTTCTTAAGCGCCTTTAAACAAACACATAAGTGTATGTATGTGTGTGTGTGTGTGTGTATATATGTGTGTGTGTGTATGTATGTGTGTGTATGTGTGTGTGTACGTATGTGTGTGTATGTGTGTGTGTACGTATGTGTGTGTA